GTGGAGAGGGTAATGCCTTTGGTCTATCGATTCCCTTATTTTGTTTTTTTTTTATTCTTCAGGGGAACCTTCGCAGTTGGCTTCTGAATGAGTACTGTCGCAACCAGTTTGCCCTCCTGGATAAGGAAGGCGATGCATGCTCTATCTATTGGCACACAAACAATGAAGTCATTCCAGTTGAGCAACGGGAAGACTGGAGCGAGGGCTGGGTAATGTGGTCCCCACAGGGCACCTACCTCGCTACAATGCACTCAAAGGGTGTCATCCTGTGGGGTGGCGACAAATTTCAACGCGTTGGGCGTTTCGCACACGCCGGGGTTCGAATGGCAGATTTTTCGCCGCAGGAGAGGTAACCGCCCCGCATTACCAGTCCAGTCTGTCTACCAGTTTTATACTCTTGTGATTGAGTAGGAATTCTATGCATGCTATTGTTTTTGAGAGTATTGGCACCGTTCTATAAAACATGTGGTTTTTCCTTCGTATTTTAACGTTCATGGAGTGCACATAAGCGTATGTACCGTTAATTGAAACGCTTAGGTGGATTGTAAAATGAGCGAACACATCCAAGGGCATTTGTGATAATATTAATAATAAGTACCGTTGTTACTAGTATAATGCTACTAATAGTATACTGTTAATGGTGGTACTAAGGTAAAAACAAGTACTGTACTGTGTATCATACTAGATACACCTCAACCTGCTGCATATCTGCCTTTTAGTCTCATTTTCCAGCACCTATCGAGTGCTCCTCCAGAAAGAAATCAACTCTTGAATACTTTTGTACTAAACTGAAGTTGACTTTTTGTATTCTGAAGTCCTGAGCTAAAAAGTCGTTTGCTTTGCGCGTATACGGGAAAAATACGTATTTTAGGGAATCCAACTTAAGACTTCGTCAAACTCATTGTGACCAAAGCACCTGTGAATATTACACTAACAGCTGGCTCAAACGAACGTTTCACTGACGTTATTTAAAGCAAAGTTTATCCGTTTTTTGACAAAGGTCAATTCTTATTTAGCAGTCTTTTCCACAAAACTTTTCCCTAACCTCTTGCTAAGAAGACTACTCGGATTTGAATGCGCCTCAAAAAGAAGAGGTCAGATCTATTTTTGTTGTGCTAGTTATGGCTGGAATTTGCCGCGCTCTCCATCTGCACAATAAGCGAATCGTCCATACTTAGATCATGCTTCACGGGACAGTAGTTGCCTAGGGCGGCTTGGTGGTGCGATTGTTGCAGTTGGATTCGAGAAAGTGGTCGATTCCAGCCACCCATCTAACAGTTTGGGGTTTCAGGATAGCGCCAGACCTTAGCAGCCAAAATCTTGTATTTCCTGCCTGGTCACTTTTTATTTTGAGCCGATTTTCCAGCTCTGCACCTGAAAACGTTCACGGGGTATAATTTCTGACTGTATATTTATCATTACTGCAGCTAGTCCCGCTGTCTGCGCATCAGGTAGCCTGTAGCCAAGCCTATCTTGGCGGATTTGAAGGATCATCGGCATTCAGGAGTCCTTTCAAGAGTGTCCTCCATACTGTATTCTTTACGAAAGATTCCAATTGTTTTAAAACTAGTAGGACTTCTTGGAACGGCTCCTTCACTGATACCCTTCCGTTCACGCAGCTGAAACGAGGGTCTCTAACCTACAGCTATACCCAGTGGCGTGCCGCCCTATCGAGCTTTAACTCTTGTGATTCCCCTTCCCCCTAAACGTGGGCACTCCGTTCACATGTGATATTTTCCCGTTTTCTGGCGGCAAAGATGTTCTTAAGAGCTAGCGATTTACGCACTGACACCTCCCTCTCCGTATTCGATTTTCTAGATTCATGGTGACACTCAGTCCCTGTCCGGGTGGCGAGGAAAATCCCCAACTGCGATCCCTGATGGAGATCATCATATGGGATGTTTTGAAGGGCACAGCTTGTCGCCGATTTACTGCCACCATCGAGTCCTGGCCGACCTTCAAGTGGTCAAATGATGACGCCTATGCAGCTACCCTACAGGGCGGCAAGATCTACATTTATGAGACGGAGACCTTCCGGACGTTGGACAAGAAACCGCTCACTGCCAACGTTGGCATCAGTGATTTCGCCTGGTCTCCTACAGATCGCATCATTGCC